CCCGCATACCGCCTCATGTACCCCCCGACGAGCCTGTACCACCGTGCCTCGCCCGTGCAGTACCGGCCCACAACTTTATGCTGCGCCGTACCGCCCGGTATTGCACCATGCTCGGCCCCATGCCGTGATGAGCCGCCCCGGAAAAAAACAGGCCGCACCCATACCGCCCGGTACCGCCCCGTATACGGCCGCCGGCATGCGGTGGCATACAGCCCATACTGCCCATGAAATTTGAAAGCCGATCTAACTGGCGACTTGTTGCTGCAAACCGCAACCCGTACCGCACCGTACTGTGCCACCCTGTCCGGCCCGTTGTCACCTCGCCCCGTACCGTACCGCCTAGTGCCAACTCGCACCACCCCGTACAGGCATGTCCCGCCCCGCCTATAACATAGCATACCGCCCCATACCACTCCGTGCTAAGCCTTCTGGTTCTAACTTGCTCTTGGTGAGAGAGACAACCAAGGCCATGCCGTACCGCCCCGATGTGGCCCGCTCTTACCGGTGTGCGGCATATAAGCCTCATGGTTCCAAGGCCAGCTAACTCCAAGCCGTACCGCCCGCGTCCGGCACCGTACATATAGTGCCGCACCCGTAGCACCCGTAACACTGCCTCGTGTACGGCCCCGTTCCGCCCCGTGCACGGCTCGGCTAACTTGCACAGGCGCGAAGTTAGAACCACAACATTAAATCCAAATCCATGTGCAGTACAGCTATTAGCTCTGCACCGCCCCGCAACGGTGCGAAGCTGGAACCAAAACAAACCAAAATCCCTCCCGACCGCCCCAAAGAGCCCCAGAGCAGGAAGCCAGGCTGGTTGCCCCTGTAATATGGAGGCCTTAGCCACTAGAACAGGGCTTTGGGGTATTATGCTGAAGACATTCGGGAACTATAACAGGATAGTATATTGAGTAGACTGTTGAACCTACATTAGAATCTTTTTCCAGAGGTTTGCCTCCTCGGCCAGTTATCCCCACACTTCATTTCCTACATTCAATATGTCATAGAGTTCAAATCCTGAATCTTGCATTACCCCCGACACCCCCAAGACCAAGGCCCAAAGACAGCGAAAACACCTGGCCCCAGCTTTTTTGATTCCCGAAACCGGTTGATGATGTAAATCCTGCGTTACCTTGTGACAAGGGTGTGTCGAGTGCATCGTACTACGGCCACGAGCTTCGAAAGCCTAACAAGGCAAGGCTTTTCCCTTCTTCCTTCCCAACTCCAAACCTATTCCTTTTAGGGCTGAGTCCTAAGCTCATGCCATA